AAATCTTTTAGTTGAAAATTTTTTATATCAATAATTTAGTTGAAAAGTTTAATATGGATCAAACAATATTTGACGATTTTTTTTCATTAAAAATAAATATTTTTTTTAGAAAATAGTTAAATAAAATATTAAATTTTAGTTTTGGTATATTCAATAAGTAAAAGAACAAGAGTGGATTTTGACCGAATTTTTGACTAGTATAATTAATAATTAAATCAAACTAATTAGAAAGAAAAAAATCTACTCTTTTTCCCTACTAACGTAGCCAAACATTTTTTTTATAGTTTAAATTAATTAGAAAAATAAAATGCGAATAATATACATAACCATACATTTTCAATGTTTTGACCCTAAACAAGCCATAAACTCTCAAAACTAAATCCTAATACAACGTAAATGATATATTGAATAAATGATTTTGAAAAAATGACAGTTTTGAAAAGTGACATTTCAAAAGTGGTATTTTATAAAATTCTCTATATTATATAAGTTTGTATGAGATTATTATTACATAATTAATAAATATTCATAATGGGTTAAAATATTTTTTCACGTGTTTATATATGAATTTGAATGATATGAATTAGGACATGAGAATTAATATATAAATTGATGTGTAATGATTTGGGGCTTATGTTTGAATAGTAGTTTCTTATTATATAAAAGAGAATGCGCACGATGAGAGCCTGAAACATAAGCAAAATTGTAACTCACCAGATCGCAACACATGTAATTGTTAATTTAGATTGTGACATATTTTAATAATAGAGAAATTTCAAAAAATACCACTTTTCAGGTACCACTTTAAAAAAATGCCACACTTTTGAAATCTTTACAAAAATGTCACTTTTTCAAAATTATTTTTTATTTATATTATTTATATTTGGGTTAATTATGTTCTATTAGGGTTTAGTTATGAAGGTTTAGAGGGGTTTAGGGGTCAAAACATTTTTTAGTGTTTAGAATTTTGAGATATATGGTTTAAAAATCTATAATTAGT